TCCTCCACTAGCCACTCTTCGAAACTTTCCTGGTTCAAGGTGGAACTGGCCAGACTCGCCACGACAATGGCGGTCTCTGGACTCAAACATTTTGCTGGTCCCGCAACAGACCTGGAGATTGAATGTTTTGTTTAAGTGAAATGAAGGACCCCACTTGGGCGAGGACCCAGGATGAGAACGATGCGATGGAGTGTCAATGAAGGTGCCGGTGTTCCTTCCATTCCGAGTGGTTGACTCTCGTCGTCGGAGTTATCGTCATATCAGGTCGTTTCGTTTTCTCGCACTCAGTGTCAGCATTCCCGCGTCCCTTCCCAGCAGCTGCCTTCAGTGCTGCGACCCCGGACCGATAATCTAACAGACACAACAGAACGCTCCCCAATCTAGGCGGGACCATTGACAAATGTAACATTCCTTCTTCTGATTGTATACTATGCCTTTAATACATAGTTATACGCTTGGTGCCATAGTACAGTTCTCGGGCATGTCGGTTACTACTTCTCATAGCTTCTTCCTATGTGCATTCGGCGTGGTGCTCTACAATTCTGTTCAGTATATTGAAGGGCTGCGGAACCAACACAACTGTTTACCCATTCGGTGTATGTGCGTGCATGTGCCAACCTCAACGTCTTCGACCGCTACAGCCTAGCACGATGAAATCGCAGCTATGACGGTCGCCGTCCCCGTTTCTGCCCTCCTGTGGCTGATGTTTTTGCAGAATGTCAAGTGTGGCGCCGGGGTATGGCGACGTGCTTCACCCTACCCCTTCCTGTCCTTTCAGGAAAAATACCCAGATGAAAAAGAAAACACGCCTCATCCCTCTGCTTGCTGCAGCTCCGGCCACACTCCTATCAGCTGTGACATCCAAGTGGCAGAAAGTCCTGGACAGGCGCTGGTGAATATTTCAGCCTTCTTTTTTACCAACGTATGTTGGATCGCCTGCAGGCCTTCTCTTCCTCAAATTGAGGACTTATCAACTCAACTCTCAAGTCGCCCATCCTCTTTCTTTCAAGCTGGTAGTCATTCGGGATTTACCGCCGTGCCTGTCAACTACCAGCGTGAAAGATTTATGTGTGTAGGTCTCAATAGTACTAAACCGCGCGGACACAACTCCTCGCTGACTAACCTTCGCCTGGGTTATATGCGCATCTTTGAGTTTGCCTCGAAGCGATCGTGCCTTTTGAGCAGATCAACTTCCTCCTGGCTGACGGGACTATCCGAACGCAGTTTGATGTAGACGTCCCATATTTTCACATTTTACGACTATCAGTTCCCCTTTTCATGACAGACAACGTCGCACAATCCACCCCCCTCCCCGTTCGTCGTCCCTTTCCCCTAGGCTCACAGTTGATCAGGCAGATTTTTTGCCAATCGTCCAAACGAAAGATAAGTAGACTGCTTCCGTGATCTCCTATTTACCTACTGACTACGCCCACTTCCCATGTAACAGGCCTTCAGCAGCCACCCCAACAAGGTATAAGGCAGATCGTACGAAATTGTAGCTTAAGATTTCCCAGACTATCAAGCCAAGTAGAGGTCAAAATAACACTGAAATAATGATCTCGTAACTGGTCGATCTGGAAAGCGTGGAAGAGGTGTAACTCATGCTGCATTTGCGTTAGGCGTCCAGGCCTGCTTTCAAAACCCAAGCTGCTAAGGCAATGGGGATATTGTGCACGCAGTCACGGGGGCCAAAATGTGACCTTAACTAGGCAACAGGATGGCGGAAAATGGAAGAAGAGATAAGCAAGAATCGAGACAATGAAGTTGGCCGGTTAGAATGCAGTGACATGTGTCAGTGCAAACACATATCCGAACTTGCCTTTGGGCCTTTTCTGCCAAATTATTGGAAACCCTTAAACTTTCATCCAAAGGCCAAAGATGGTCATTGTAAGGGAACGAGGACTTCCGGTATGGATGTCCTAGCGGCAATTACGTGATGATGATGATGATGTCGTGGTGGAATATTGCTAAACGGACGCTAAGACTGCAGAATGAAACACTAAGAGCAGTAAATTAATTCAACCGAATGCTCTGGCGGTGGGTAAGCTAGTTATTTGTGGGGTCGAGAGCTCAGTTCTGACAGAGGTTCTTGTTGCGTACCTGAGTGCGCTGTAAATCAGATGCATTTGCCAGCCCATAATAGCCGTGATGCCATGAGATGTTGACTGTTCGAGAAGTGGTCTCTTTGCGAGCACTGCTGCGGATGTAGGAAACAGAGAGAAGAGATGTTTGAGATGACCAATTTTAATTAAGTAGACAGAGCACGGTTTGCAGATCGATCAATAGGATAGTATGCAGCGGTGGCAGGGAATATCCCTCTCCTGCCTTGGTAACTGTAATTCCTTGTTATTTCTATTTTTTCCATCAGGAAACACGGGAGAATATAAAGCGTCAGAATAACTACCGTTTTCTAGATTTGAAAAACAGGTACTCTTCACCTTTGATTTGATTTTCGTTAACGGAAGGAAAGGCTCAATAAGGATTGGTGCAATTAATGTCAACATATAATAACTTATTTTCAGTGAAGATGTTGATTTGCAGGAGAAAGGAGGGAACTGTTGGATTTTTCCAAAATATTTTGACCCCTAGTCGTTGTTAGATGATTTGGAGCCAAATCCAGTAAATGAGGTTCAATCCTG